TTGGCGCATCAACAAGAGTGAGATTCACACCTGTGCTTCATGGACGGAAATCTGACGTTCTAACAATTCCGCCATGGCCCAGCATAAGTTAATATATGTATTTAATATCCACAGTTCTTGGATTTATTTTCGGTGGGCAATTCCTCCCTTCATTTATATTAGGCATATTGGAAAAAATATACTTTTTTACGATAGTTTTCACCATGTACAAGGCACAAGAGCCTCCCGAGATAGACGGTTACGGATAAGAGGCACAGTTTATGGAGATATGTGGGAATGATGACGATTAATCTTAGATTTGAACAGATTAAAATTGTAGTGATCGAGGAAGCATTCTATTGCTGTAATCCAGAATAATCCAGAACTTATACTGGTAGCCAACCTATATATGTATAGAAAACTATTTGAATAGTTACACGAAAACAGAAAAGGACGTTGGAGAAGGACGTATTTTCTTCCTGGGGTTATTCAACATCTACAGCGTCGCCATCTTAAGGGAATCTAGACTTTACAAGAATATATTACCGGTTGTCGTAATGTTGGTTATCTGTGTCGCACTAGAAGGTTTTTCTCGTCTGAGTCCATTCTTCACATCTACAAATCTACCATTTATCCATGTATGGAATATTATTGCTATATATAGTCTGGTCCTGACTTGGGATCTCGACTCCAGTCACTTTCTCACGTACGTAATGTGACTTCCCTCTGTCTTTTCTATAAATATTTTCATGTCATCTGCTCTGACGACCTATTTTCACTGGTGCACCGACTGCATGAATTTAAGCGTGCCACTGGGTTGGCAACTAGGTCCCAATTTTTAATGTCGAAACAGTTAAATGTAACCGGATCTTCTACTCCAACAAATTCTTCCCTCGCACTTCCCGACAGTGAAACTCCCTTCCTCTTACTTTGCTTCCCTGACAACTATAATCTTCAAAAATTTAAATTTAATATCAATCGACATCATCTGTTGACTTGAACCCGCTTCTTCTTTTTATCCTCCTCTGTGCTTATTTTTATCCTTTCCTCAACATCCCCTATATTTTCATTTTTTTTCCTTTACTTGCACTCTCTGTAGCCGCTTGCGTACTAGTGTCACTCATGCCTTACTTGGAGTGAATTGCTTAAAAAAAGATACGCAGGTGATTTTTGGTGGACTCAGAACAAAAACTAAAGCAGCTCCTGGAGAGGTTAGTAATAAAAAATAATCTAGAAAAATGACTAGGCCTCAACTGTAAGAAGACATAAGTGTGATCATCACCAAGAGAAAAAGTTCTAGGATTCGTTTTACAGATTGGGGATATAAACATGAAGAAGGTACAGAAGTTTAATTACCTGGGAAGTGCAGAGGATGTCAGATATGGTACCGAAATCCGAACACAATTTGAACGAGAGAAAGAAACATTCCAAAACAGTAGGAAAGTTTGCTGAGAAAGAAAAACAATCGTTAGAAATAAAGAAAAGAGTGCTGGATGACTATGTGTTATCCATCGTCTTATATGCCAGTGCATGCTAAACAATCTCTCAACGGACCAGGAAAAATATAGAGGTAGCTGAAATATGGTTTCATTAAATAGATACTAAAAATATCATGGACCGATCGAGCAAGCAACAAGGAAGTCTTTAAAAAAATGGCAACAGAAATAGTCGGAATCAGGAAATGAGAGTTGATATACCTCGTCAAAATCCAGTGACGTATATGCAATATGATAGGTCCTGATATGGCATCTAATCTAGAATCACTATCCCACAGACGTCCCGTGGCTTCCCTCAGTCTCTTTTCAAGGCAAATTGTTCCGACAAGGTACTTTCGCTGGTTCCCAGACTGCATGAATTTAAACGAGCTACCAGGCTGGCATCTCGGTCTCACCCTTTCATGAAACCGTCTCTTCTACTCAAACAGCTTCTTCTCTCGACCTTCCCGTGTGTGGAACTCCCTTCCCCTTATTTGCTTCCCCGATAGCTATAATCTTCAAATATTCAAGTGTAATGTCAATTGACATTTGACACCCTGAGCTTGTTCCCCGTCTTTCTCAATATCCTTTCCTCAAACACGCCTCTTTACTCTTGTTCTCAATCCTCTGTAACCCCTTGCGTGCTAGTGAAACTACCGCCTTGCTTGGGGTGAATTGCTTTAAAAAAATACCTTCGACACATCATGAAGAAATATAGGAAAAGTTAACTCTCTCAGGGCATATTGAGTGCAAGAAAGATAGAAGGTAGCGAACCATTTATCTGACGACCTTGTGTGAATGGTTGACAGAACCAGAGACGGGAGACTTAATAAAGGGGGACAAGCGGCAGAATGCCACAGATAATAGAAAGTTGTGGAGATCCATGATCGCCTCTGTTTGAAGTGGGACTGCACATAGAAAATGATTATTTTCCATATATTTTAAACATGGTTTGGTTTGATTTTTTTTTACGGCATATCAAACTCAATGTGTTGTTTAATGCCGACAGCTTTTTTTCCTGAGAATATTTTTGCTTTGTCAAAAAT